CGGGAAGGAGCAGATTCTTAGATTGGAGATCTGAGAAGGTCAGGATTTAGCACTTTGAGCAGCAAAAATGTGATGACGGGCTGCCACGGCTAACCAGTGTGTATGATTCCGGCCTCGGTATGTAGAAAGTCCAGTGTGATAAGGAACTGGCGGAGACATCGCTTCATTGAGTCCATTGGAATAGATCGTCGAGGAAAGCATCGCAAAAGCTGATCCATGCTCATTCCAAGTGCCTGGTGAACAACGCAGAGGTGTTTCCCGTGTGGTCCTTGTATATCGAAGGACGTCAGCAGTTTACGAACAAACCGGCAGCCCGGATGTCTTTCCACATTGGATGCAGCATGGATCCGATCATAGATGGCTGTCTCGTCGCGTTTGATATATCTGTTGACATATATCTTCAATGCAACATAGGTGAAGCCATCGTCCGCGTTCCTAAGACTTGCATGTTAGATGTCTGTTTCTTCTGTCTGTCTGTCTGTCTGTCGGTAGCCAAAGTTGTTTCCTTACCGGAGGTCGCGAGCAAGCCATGCTGTGGAAGTTGTTCCATATCCAAGCTTGCAGACAACCTGATATCTGCCATTGAGCACTTCTCCGATACGTACGGGATAATACATTTCTGCAATGTAGTCCGGCAGCAACTCCTCTTCAATAGGTACTGCGGGATCAAGTTCGGTGAACCCGGACACCGGGAAACGGCGAGGGTTCAAAGGGGCTGCGGCCATGGTAGCCATCGCACGTCGATGAACAACCGCAGTGCCGCGACTTCGTCGTGCTAGTGTTTCTGCTGATGCTGGTGCTGGTGGTTGATACCGCTGTCGAGGGCGAGCTGGGAAGCCCAAGGAAGCCGCTCGGGGGCCACGAGGGACGGGGACCAGCGTTCCAAGCGAGCATCCAGCACGCACCAGCCTCATGATGGTTGGTGGTTGTGGACGTGCGATTGTCGTCTCGACTTCGCGTTGGTGATGTTCATCCAGGACGGTGGTGAGGCACTAACTAACTACCCGTGATCGCACCAAGGCTTGCTTACACACCTGGTGGAGTCACCCACTCATTTTTCGCGGTTTAACTAACAAGTTACATTTATTTATGCGACAAATAATAGTATCAATAACTGACTACTGTTAGCCGCCGCCTGTCCACTGTCGGATGTTGAGAAGAATTAACTATATACATACGACCAATGGTCGCAGTTTTCCAACCGCTGGTGCCCAATGTAGCTACGTATGGGAACGTTAAAATAGCAGCCCAGACGACATGCCCTCTACTTTTTAGGCAGGCCTGATTTTGCGGACCAGCGTTTCCGTGTTTCACCTGCTACTATTTCCAGGTAGTGCCCGGAGGAGCAGGGGAGTATGGTAAGCCTAAGGGGGATGCGCCTCCAAATACGGCGGCTATCGTCAGAAACTCCCCTTTCTTCTCCTTCTCGATTGGATATGGAATTTGCAAGCCAAACTGAGAATGACTTTGCACTCCACACCCACCTCTTGCCAACTGGCCAACGGCGTAGTTACTAGCCCTGCAAGGATGGAGAGGGGGTGACATGCAGGTGCAAGTGGTCCCGGCGCGTAAGCATGGGTTTGATTTAGGCATAAAAGCCAGTCAGTGGTCCTCGAAATTGTTCAGGTGTTCTCATCAATCAAACGACGGACAGTAACGACGGACAGTGAGCCCGCGTGTAGGCATACTTGACCCCTCAGCTTGATTTCGTTGATACCCTAAACCTCCCAGACTTATTGAGGACACACCGTTCAGTATCCGACCCGCCGCCCAGGATGAATACCCTTGGTACAAAAGCGTTCAGCACTAGCGCGTACAGGTCCATTACCTTCAGGGGATCTGGCTTTGAGGCTATGTTGCATCAGAATGGCCTGGACGGAGGACACTGGCAGTCAATGGTGATGAGGATAACCGACGATATCGAGAAAGCTGTGAGTATCGTGTTAGCACGCACGTCAGTCGTTATGAACGGAGGCCCAGAGACGCGGCTAACAGCAACTGCCCACACATAGGACCCCCGAATAAAAGTGGCGGACGTCCAGTATTTTTGCCCATTGATACATGTTATATAACTCCGCATGCCACTAACAGATTATTCCCAGGGGTGGCAGAGCCCACAAATCGAGCAACGATCCAAAGGACCCATTTCCAGTGATCACCGTTGGCCTCCTGACGACTGAAAATTCAAAGGACCGTATCGGCAGCATCCATGTGCATTTTGACGGGACCTTCAAATTCTTCCCCTCCCGCAAGGGAGATTTCGGAAAATATATGGAGCAGATCAGGAAGGCTGGTATCCCGGGATTCATCGACACAACTCCAGAAGAAACGGAGGCAGAGGCAGCCAAATCGGCCACTGGCCAAGGGAAAGGGCCGGAGCAATGAATGGGGCCTGAAGTTCCACAAATGAGATTTTGTCGATAAAATGGTTAAGCGCTGCCTAACCCAGATTTGTGTTGAAATATTGTGTGCGCTCCGATTGCTTTCTGGTCTCTTGTAGCGCCGTTACCTTGTTAATTTTATCGACTTCTTAGTTTTCCAAACGTTGGTTAGCGAGTTTGGTTTATCGTGACACCGAGAATAAGTGGTAATTCTGTAATACAAAGTAAGGCTCTGGGCCTACCTCCCTTTTAGGCCATCTTCCTGGATCACAAAGGCTGTCTTTAATTGATAGGCTAATTTTATTAATCCAGTCCCTATCCCCCAGCCCCTCCGCAAACCATGTGTCTTCGATAGCGAGTTCCCTTGAAGCCATCTTTCTCCAGCCAACTTTCAGCTCCAGTCTGTCGCATCAAGAGTATAATTACCCGCTATCAATTGGACCTATGGACCCCATGCTGGGCAACCTGTGGCGGAGCGGAGAAATGTCTGGCCGTCGGTGGAGGCTCCGGCCCGCTGTCGATCCTCGGTCAGGCCAAAAAAGCTCAAAACGCACTGCTCGTCTTCACCGACGATGAGGACCGACAACGAAGCATCCAACGTCGTCCCTGTCGAGAGAATGGGGGACTGGCAGCTAGCAAGACAGGATACGAAAGACCAAGGAGCGCTCACTAGCTAGCCAGGCAGCCAGCACACCAAACGTTGATTAGAGGCCGCTAGCAGGTAGGAAATATCAGCACAACCCCCTATAGCGGCAGCAATACTGTGCTTTGGAGCTGACAAAAAGGAGGCTATAGGCAGTGTCGGTGTGATATGGCCGAAGCACGCCCTGCTACCAGGCCGCGGGCCCGGAAAAAGGTGACCTGGTGGCTGCGGATGAAATACAGGCTGCTACGTCTTACCTCGCCCCTCCGACTCCGCGGTAGTATTACCCGGCTTAGCCATCACAACAAGCGGCCTTTTCTCTCACTGCTTCGACTTTGCCTACCTACAACCTCTCTAACTTGGTCGTTCCCTGTTCCGGAACCTCTCTCGCCAAGCACCCTGATCAAAGAACCATCACTGTGCTGGAAGAGACGTATTGAGGGAGATATTAAAAACCTACAAGATATACCTATCTGGCGCTCTCGAGACACCCCCCTCCGCTCTTTATACCGTCTCTATGAAGCTATAATGGCGGGGGAAGAGTTCTTCGTTGTTATTGGCTATGAAACGGAGTACTTTTGGTATCAAAATCGGAGTTCCTGGGAGCCTCAATATATACCAGACCCAGCTGATCCTGACCCTCTTCGCTATGCTATCCTTGCCTGTATTGCAGAGGCGTTAGTACTGGCGTTAAACTGGCGGTTAAGTCTTGGTATGCGGAGGAATGGTGATCATATATATCGCCAGAGTGGTAGTGACCCTTACCCACCTTATAACCCCTTCCTTATACCCTCCTGGGTAAGAGACGTACCTCCAGTATCAACTGATTACCTCCGCTCAACCATTCCTGCTAATAAACTTGATTCTGATGGGCGCCTAGTACTTATAGATGGGGGGAAGAGTGAGATATTTCGCAAGAGGAACATTGTTGCTTCTGAATATAGATTCTATACTATATAGCTTTATTAACCAGTTCTCAGTACATAATACCCGTTCCAAGGACACCTAACCCGGTGATACGGACCCTCCTCTATTAAAGGTAGTCAAGGTAAATAGGTTAGGATAGATAGACGGGTACCAAGACCCAAGGCAGGGCTGCCGATTAGAAAATCAAAGGTACGTCTCTTGCTAAATTCAATGAGTAATATTAAAAGTCGGCCTGTGGTCTTCATAACTTGCCCACGACTAAATAGGAAGACGCGCGGGTACGCAGGGCCCCTGGCAACGCGGTTGGCTGTGTCGTCTTCAGTCTCATTCGTGAGAAGAGGAGGAGGGTCAGATTTGGGAGGTAAAGAGTTGCCCAGCGAGCGAGCGTGGTCGAGGCGACGAAGTTTGTCGCGTAGCTTATAGGACTTGAGGGAGTGGGCTGTGTGAGCCTTTAAAAATACATGCTGTGCTATACATGTTAAAGCAGAGGATAAAATAGAAGAGAGCCGTGCTCTTGTTTGATTCAGACTGGAGTCTTGGCGAGGGCATAAAACAGACATCAAAACGGCTGGAGAACAGTGGCAGGCCGCTTCAATATTGGGCCGGAGGGCATCGGCGAACTCCTCTAGGGAAATTGACTCATCTTCAGAGTCACCTGGCTTTCGAAGGGATTCTCTTACTGTAATCATCATACTCGTCAGAGTTATCGAAGTCATTATCCAGAAAATAACCTGCCCCCGCAGCTGCGAGTGACAAAGCTCGATGCATTAACTATTGTAAGTGAAATAGTTCAATATTCGGCAAGGGGCTGTTTACTGGACCCTCGGTGTGTATAGTGATGACATGCCCAGACGGAATTCGGGCGTCTGTTTGGCAGTCATATAATCGTATATTCGGCGTTTCGGAATCCGCTGACGGACGACCCCCCGAGAACAGATTGCCAGGCATTATCGGTGGCTCGCATATCCCGTTAATGGTTGTGTCATGAATGGAGTCATGGAGGACTGAAGCCAATGGAATGTAAGTTGCAGCGTTTTGCGATCGTCCGAGAGCTGCACCGGCTCCAAAACAAAAAGCTGGTGGAATTGGTTTATTTCGTCCTCCTTCCAAAACTATCTGATTGCTTCCCAGAAGAGGCCCCTGCTGAGCTTTGGCTGAGGAGAAACGGAATAGGGTATAATATGCGCTGCATCACATGGCTCGGTTGCTTTGGTGATGATATGTCAATGATATAACGACTATCTCTGCAGCCAGTTAGGGACTTTCCTTTTTGTCCAGCGGTTTGATACCATAGCAGCGCCCAAAATAGGGCTGGAAGACGGACAAAAAGAAGTATCATTCCTTGCTGATAAGACGTCCAACAAGCTCCCGGTCCAATTTGTTGTGGCCATGTCGGTGCTGAGTGGTGGATCGGTGAAAAGAGTGATTTGCCAGTGAATGAGCGAGATAGCTAATTAATTAACTAGCTAACCAGTGAAGGCATCGATCTATCGAAAAAAGGGACATCGTTCATAATCCGAGTGCGGAGGATGGCCTTGTAATAACATTATTGTACTCCGTAGACGTTGAAGTGACTCAAATTAACGTTTGATTAACTAACTAGTTAGTTTGTCAGCAAACCTTAACCTAACTTCCCTCGAGACGTTCGCGGCCTCCAGTTCAGCCCTGGAGAAACCAGGAGCGGGCGATGAGATTTCTCCTACGGGGTGATGCTGGTGGAATCATGGCTGGATAGTACCGTGGGCATTGCTATATAGCTGTCGGGCCGATGGTTTACATGGCAGACCAAGACATCCGCCGAACATCTACTCCTCACCAGCGATTAGCGGCCGTCTGCGGTGCTAACTAGTTCGTCCTCGGCTAAAGGAGAGGAGAATACAATATCACGACCTCCCAACAAGCCGGTAGCTCGGCCATACTGCCGAGGACTGCGAACAAGTAGTTGGCCGGGGCCACCTATACGAGGTTTACCCCAGTTACAGCGGCATCTAGCCTGGACAGGGATACCTATAAAGAGGTGATCACAGCTCTGGTTGTCATCGTCACCCCATTTAGTTGAAATCGTCCACTGCAAGACCACCAGAATGGGTAACAGGTTTATTGATTATCTACGCGGGCCCGAGGGCAGGCCAGGAGAGTCCCGTCTCTTGCGCAAACTAGACTTCTTCATCCTCAGCTTTTGCTGTCTGATGTACTTTGCAAACTATGTAGGTGTTTTCCTAGCCGTCCACCCAGGAGCGAGCGAAGTCTAACTGACGAATAGCTGGACCGAAGTAACCTGGCGAATGCCTACGTCTCTGGAATGAAAGAAGACCTAGACTTCCATGGGAAACAGTTCAATCTTATCAATACCATCTTTACTGTTGGGTACGGTTTGCCAATGGTCGTGTGTGGACAAGTCAACTAATGGTTATACTCCCAATTAGATATGTGCTCGGTCAGGTACCATCTAACCTGGCCCTTTACCGTCTTAAGCCACGGTACTTCCTACCGGGCATGATGGTGATATGGGGTGGGCTCACCATGGCTACTGCTGGTGTTCACAATCCACAGGGAATCATGGTCATCCGTTTCTTCCTCGGTCTAGCCGAGTCCTCTACGTTTGTAGGAACGCACTATATTCTGGGCTCTTGGTATACGGAACGAGAGTTGGGGAAACGCTCCGGTATCTTCACCGCATCTGGCCTCGCGGGAACGATGTTCGGCGGCTTCATCCAGACTGGTATCAATTCATCCTTGCATATGAAGGGTGGTTTGCCAGGCTGGAGATGGCTCTTCATAGTATGTTGCACCTGTCCAGACTCCTAATATTGACCTTGGCCAAATACTAATTAATGATGATGGTCAATAGATTGATGGGCTTATCACCATCCCAATTGCTGTGTATGGGTTTTTCCTATTCCCGGATACCCCCAGGACGACTCGTGCCCCTTACCTTACTGCTGCAGACAAGGAACTAGCCGTAGCCAGGCAGCCGTCGCCGAGTGACGATGATGCCGAGCACACGAAGATCAACTTTGCCCTGGCCAAGCGGGTTTTCTCAACCTGGCATCTGTACGGTTTTGTGATTCTCTGGGTAATTGCAGGAGAGACCGAGTCCTTCTCAACGAACTCCCTTCTGGCCCTGTACATGAAATCTCATCCGACCATCAAGTACACTGTGGCGCAGAACAACAACTACCCGTCCGGCATCCCTGCCGTTGGCATCGTCTCGACCCTCATCTGGGCCACACTCACAGACTTTCTCGGCGGGAAACGGTATCTTGTGGGCTATTGGATCGGCATCACCGGTGTAGTCACCTCTGCCATGATCCTGGCTCCCGGCTCATCGACAGCCACCATTTTTGCAGCGTACTACTGGGCTGGCTCGGTCTATGCATGCCAGGCCACCTTCTTTGCATGGGCCAACGATGTGATGCGGTACAAAGACGATGCCTGGCGCAGTGTTGTAATTGCAGGCATGAACATGGGCAGTAACGTCATCAACGCCTGGTGGAGCATTGTCTTCTATCCCGCCAGTGATGCTCCTTATTTCAGAGTACGTCTTAACATTCCTGCTAGTTTATTCCCTGGATATTTTCGAACTAACCAGATGCAGTCCGGCATGTATGCTATGATAGCATGTTCGATAGCCATGGCAATATGGACTGGATTTGTGATGTATATGTCCTGGCGAGAGGGGAAGCAGATGGTAGACACTCAGCAGACGGTTGAGAAGCAGGACAGCCAGTGCAAAGATAGCTGACCCCTATCTTGGGTCCTTCACCCGCTCGTTCTCTCATCAGTCCACCATCATCGCAGAATAGTAACTCATAACCAAGATATACTCTTGACTAGACGGCAAAGTAAAGTAAGCTTGCATCTAATATCTGCATCACTTTTTGATATCCGTTAATGCTCAGAAAGGCTCGTTTCTCAATAGTAAGAAAGGGACCAATCCTGATGAATCAGCAGAGCTGTGCACAGTTTATTCATGGTCACGTTTAATATGTCAGCATTGACCAATAGGATGGCTCTAAATCTCAAACTCAAAGTCCAGCCATCAACCACCTGCGGCTTAGTCATCAGCCTAATCTTTCGTTATCGATTGCTCGTTTGATGGATATAAAAGACGGATTGAAAAAAAGTATATATATAAAAGACAAAAAGAGAGGAAGAGAAGAAACGGAACAAAAAGGTGGAAGAAGAGACGATGACGGCGAGCTCGGTTGACACTGCAGGTTCAGCAGACGAGCAGCCTCTGCGCTCGCCCCTGTCGCCGTCGACGTCGATGAGCTCACCATCTCCAGGTGAAGAAGCGGGCAGGCTGACGGACATGGCCTCAAACGGGCTGGACGACATCTTTGGCTCGTCTCCGCCACGAACAGCAGCAGAAACGACGGCAGCATCAGCTGCAGACGAAGATGGGGACATGCTTGGTAGTAGGGCTGGTGAGAACACAGTGCCGTCTCTCGCTGAGTCATCGGATCTACCCTCGCTACGGCGACAGCATGTCACAGCCGGGTACCGCGACGGGGTGACGGCGGCCAAGGGCGAGCATGTGCAGCGGGGGTTCGACAAAGGCTACCCCGTTGGAGCAGAGCTGGGAGTCCGAGTGGGAATAGTGTTGGGCGTGCTAGAAGGCCTGGTTAAGGCGCTGTCTAGTGGTGGTGGTGGTGGTGAAGAAGAAGAAAAAGCAGAGGATAAGGACAGCCGGGCTGCCAGCCGGGCCAGGGTGACGGCGCTCTTCGAAACGGCAAAGAGGGAGCTGGTGCTGGAACGGATCTTTAGTCTGGAGGAGCAAGGAACGGTAAAGGAAGTGGAAAGGGGGGAAGAGGGCGAGGGAGAGGACCATGGTGATCCCTATAGCCGACTGGGACAAGCTGGGGACACGGCCGTTACACGGTGGGAAGATAGGGTCCGGATATTGCTTGCTGAGCTACGCTGAAGGGGAAACACACGCCGTGGACACATATATAAGTATGTACATCCTGGCTGTGGCTGGCTGCTTGCCGGTACTCCGGTGCGGGTGGTGTGGGTGATATATACTTAACGATAATCATATTGGAGAGCAGCGCAGGAGGATTTGCAGCGAGCAGAGCCTGCTGTCCTACGTCTCCCCCTCGGCCAGAACCAGATCAACGACGGGACCGCACAATCCTCTCATCTCCCTCTCGTCTCCCATCTCCCATTTCTCTGCAGCCAACCGAATGGATGGATGTGCTGGTGATGGGTGGGCAGTACTCCGTACTTCAGGCCTGTCTCCCACTGCCTCTGGGCCTCACCCCGTACCGTTGATCTATAAGAGTACTCCGTACACGACTGCTGGCCCACAGTGGCGCATGAGGTCTCTTATCTTACTCCAGGACGACTTCGCATGTATTTAGAGGACGCATCTTCGCCTCGTCCTTTGCCCTGCGTCAGCCATCTCGAGCCTCCCTGCCTCCCAGCCCCCTCCCCTCCCCTCCCCAGACCAGGCGTGCCAGCGCATCGAGGCATGCGAGTCGACCCTGGGCCCGCCCGACGGCTCTTCATTTGCTTACCGCCAGCACTTGCGAGCGACTGTTGGTAAAACTAATCTCGTTTTAGCTGTGGTGCGCCGTCGATGCGAGCGCACTCTGCCATGTAAAAACCGGACAGGACAAGGACGAGAAGAAGCAAAAACCAATAAATAATAAAAAATAGAGGAAGGGAAAAAAAATAAAAATAAAAGAAAAAAAGGGCTGCTCGCTGTCTCTAGCTATTTGATGTCTTTTGATGTCTTTATTATTAGTTCGATCTTGCGCTGTTCAATGTCTGCTGCGCAGAGGCGACTTGCTGACCAGCCATCCTTTTTTGCTGCTTTTTGCGTCTGCTGGCTGCGATTTGACCAGCCACCGCCAGCGCCAACGCCAGCAAGCCGCCGCTGCAGGAGACAAACCAGCTTCGTCCGTCTCTTGATTCTGCTTCCTCTTCTTCTTCTTCTGCTTCTTCTGCTTCTTTTCTTTCCTGTCTTCCGTCGACCTTTTCTTTTCTCTGTTCGACGTCCCGACCTTGGTCCTTTGTCTGCTGGCGTTGACCTCCAGCATCCCCTACAGCCAGCAGCAGCAGCAACATCTACTACACCCTCCACTCCCGCAGCGCCGGAGGACACCAGAGAGAGAAAGCCACGAAGCCGGAGCAGCAGAGACCAATTGATCTTCCTCCCTGCCCGAGACGCAGCCCGACTCGCCGGCTTTCACGTTGACGTCCGCGCTGCAGCCCGTGTTTCCCGCCGTGTCGCCTTCTGCTTCCACCCGCCTTGACGAGACCAACGACCGCCACGACCAGTCTACGATATCTACCTCTGCCCGGCCATCAAGGCAGCGCCAGCGACGCCACCAGAGACGAGCTGCCCTGCTCAAAACCGCCGGCCAGAGCCCTTCGCCCGACCAGAAACACCCTCACACCCAGCAGACACAGCAGAGACCGACACCACGCCGGCAGCTTACCCTTGATTCCATAGAGCAGAGGCTCGAGGATACCCAGAAGGAGGGCCCACGGCAGGACTCGCGGCAGGGAGCTCGTCAGGGTAGCACTCGTCAGGGCACTGCGTCCTCGTACTGGCCGGCGCAGAGCATCAGGGTCTCCCCCAGCACCACTTCGGCCATCCTCTGGGTGCTTGAAGAGGCCATCCGCACCCCTTATCCCTTCACTGCAGACCCGGCAGAGCTCAACGCGTCCATGTCGGAGCTCTTCGAGACCGCACCAGCAGATGTTGCCAACGGCCGCAGCAGCCAGCATCACCACCACAACAACGGTGTAGCCGTTGCCGCCGGTAGGAACGGGATGGTACCTGCACCCAGCACTACGGGTGCCACCCATGCTCCCAGCGGTGTCCGCACCCCAACCGATATCATGAGACGGCGGCGGGAGCGTGAACGGGCCCAGCTCAAAGCCGAGCAGGAGGCCAAGTTGAGAGAGGAGCAGCTACAGAAGCAGGCGCAGCTACAACTCCAAGCTCAGGCTCAGGTACATCAGTCGGCTTCAATCATCACAGTCTCCCAGGATTCTGGTCAAAGGCAGAGTGGCAGGCAAGATACCGTCCGGATCGTTGCAGACGACACGCAAAAGCCTGCCAGACAGCGGCCGAACACCTCACAGGCGGCCAAAATGGCCAGTGGTTCACAGCAACAACAACAACAACAACAACAACAACAGCTACCAGACAGCTCATCCAAACCACAGGCCAGTCAATCTGCACCAGGTGGCCAGCAGGAGCCTCAGCACCAGCAACAACAACAACAACCATCCAGGGGTAAAGCTGCATTTCCTCACGCCTTTGAACGGTGGGAGATGCTCTCCTCGCACTGGGAGGGCCTGACAAGCTACTGGATCCGTCGTCTGGAGCAGAACAACGAGGAACTCAGCAAGGATCCGCTCAGCCAGCAAATGTCTCGACAGGTTACCGACCTCTCTGCTGCCGGTGCTAACCTGTTCCACGCAGTCGTCGAGCTGCAGCGTCTCCGAGCATCGTCTGAACGCAAATTCCAGCGCTGGTTCTTCGACACCCGCGCCGAACAGGAAAGGGCTCAAGAGGTGCGCGCAGAGCTCGAGCGTATGCTCAGCTCTGAGCGCCAGGCCCGTGCTGACGCCATAGCCGCCCTTAAGCAGGCCGAGAGCGACAAGGCCAAGGCCCAGGAGCTGGCCAGGGAAGTCCGGCGCGAACTGCAGATCTCCCGAGACGAGGCCCGGCGTGCCTGGGAAGAGCTCGGCCGCAGAGAGCAGGAAGAGCGAGACCGTACCATCTCGCTCAGGAATGGCGAGCCCACGATCGTTGGCGGCGTCCAGGTCGTACCGATGCTACAGTCTGTCCCCAGCAGACACACTAGCACCGCCAACCGTCCTCCAACTAGGGAGGGCCCTTATCCAGGCGGCCCCAGCGCGACCTCAATGGGAGGCCAGTCCCAGCAGCGCCCCTTGCTGGAGACGACCGAGTCAACTGGGTATGATGACGATGGCCACGACGCAGACCCCTTTATTGAAGCAGGGAACCCCCCCGTAGTCCCTGAAGCGCCCCAGCCTCCTCGCCAGACTGAAAGCGGTCGAGGCCACTTCTACCAGCATAACCGCCAGGCCATCCACGGAGGTGCTCAAGCAGGCGTCGGCGATGTCCTATCCGAAGACGGCCGCGCCCCTACAACCACTGTCGGCGGTGCTGCTTCTCTTACTGCTCCTATCGCCGTCACAAACGGCGGTACTCAGCATGTCTCTGACGGACGTCAACTCTCCTACCCTCGCGCCATGTCCGATGATAGTGACGACTACACCACAGAGCCGTTTGACAACTATGTTACCTATGGCTCCGGGCCCCATGGCTCCCCAGGAGCAGGCACCAGCTCTGCGGACGACAGTCACATCGGCTATCCCGCCCCAGTCGACTACAGTGGATCCGGTTGGGGAGTTGGCGGTTCAGGGTGGGACTCGGTCACTCCCCGGCATCGCCATCCGACCCGCCTCAGCGACGTACTGGAGGAAGACGAGCGAAGCCGTACCAGCCCCAGCCGCGCCAGCCAGACCAGTCGAAACATGCAATAGCCAGCGCTTTACCATCTTAATGCCGTCTCCTATGTCCCATCTCCTATGTGCTTTCCTATCTTATGTCTGTCTCACGTCTTTTTTTTGCCAGTTCTAATGCTCTAAAAGAAAGCCCTCCAGCAGACCTAATACGTCTTAATACGCTCCAGAATGACCATCCCATACCTAATATCCCAGGAGTCCGGCGTTTTCTCCTCCTTATTTTATCTTGATTTCCTATTTTTCCCGTCCTTTTATTTTTCATACTTTGGTATGTTTGATGTCTATCTTATCCACGCCCTCTGTTAGAAATAACCCCCTTTCTTGCTTTGCTTATGCCCCGGTATTCCTATTATGTACCAATTAGCTACCGCTTACGCTCTCTCTTTCCAGCTTCCTATCATTTCCTCATGCTTTTTATACGCCCCTGACCGGCATCTGATATCCCCATTCAGTAGCCACCTACTTCCTGGAAATTTTTGGTTGATCCTCTAGACAGCCAGACGATGGACCCCCCTTTTCTCGCTCCAGCATCAGCATAGCATAGATAGGCATGAATCGCATTACTTGGGGAGTTAAAACAGAGCATATCCGTAGGCTTGCTTTCTCTATTACATCCATACTACCTAGGGTCGGGGCCACCTATTTTTATATCGGCAAAACTTCGGCCCGTATTTCTCTCACGTGACATCTTGACTGCCATTACCTAAGCGACCTGTTCAATTCGCGAACTTCCGCAGCGATGATTGGAAGAAACGAAACGAAACTTGCGAACGGGAAGAAGGATTGAGAAAAGGGTGATAAAGAGGAAGAAAGGAAGAAGAAGAGAGACACGGAAAAGGTGCAGAGATGGCGTCTGCTTCCATGTCGTCGATGCTGCCGCGGTCGTTACGGGCGGCCCAGCAATGCGCCCACAGGCCCTACCAGATCAGACAATACAGCCAGCTGCTATCACGAACAGCAGAGACGGCGAGACACTCGCTGCGGCCTCTAAGCAGACAGGCCCATCCGAGCAGATCCAACGCCTTTTCTACATCCACGGTGCGGCCGGCCAAGACCATCGAACAACTCAAGGCGCGCTCTTCTACGGGACCGTTCTCATGGAAGTCGGCGGTTCTCTTCGTGCTCACCGGAGCTGGCATGATTGTCTATTTCCAGTATGAAAAGGCACGGCTGGAGCGAGAACGGATCGTGGAGATGAGCAAAGGCGTTGGGAAGCCTCGAGTAGGCGGGCCGTTTGTGCTCAAGGATCTCAATGGAGAGACCTTCACGGAGGAGAATCTCAAGGGCAAATACAGCTTTGTAAGGAAGACTACTATCTACGTTCACGCTCGGAAACAAACACAAGTCTTAGCACATGAGACTGACGAAACAGGTCTATTTTGGTTTCACACACTGCCCTGACATATGCCCGGACGAGCTTGACAAGATGGCCGAGATCATCGACGAGGTACGGGCCAGGTCGAACGGACAGGAGGTGATGCGCCCGGTCTTTATCACCTGTGACCCGGCCCGAGACAGCCCAGAGGTGCTAAGAGGGTACCTGAACGAGTTCCACAAGGACATCATCGGCCTGACGGGCACGTACGAGCAAGTCAAGGATGTCTGTCGCCAGTACCGTGTCTACTTTAGCACTCCGCAGAACATCAAGCCCGGCGAGGACTACCTGGTTGACCACAGCATATATTTCTACCTAATGGGTTAGCATATCCCCCTGTCACCACCACCCTTTACCGAAGGATAAGAAGAAGAACATACTAACAACAAGAGCATTGTAGATCCTGAAGGCGATTTTGTCGAGTGTATCGGACGGCAGGACACACCCCAGACGGCATCAAAGGTCATCCTGGACCATATTGGAGACTGGAAGAGGGCTGGCAAGCCCCTGGATGTGACTCCCAGTAGGAAGTAGTGAGGAAATTAAAGCAAAAAGGACAAGACAAGTCTCCCTCCTCCTGTACAATACTATACTCCGTATAGCCCGATATATATACGATAGATGTAATAATAGCAACATGTAAACAGGCCTATCCCTCCAAGAAATCGTTTAACTACTGGGCCGGCTTTCCATCCGCGTCCCGGTCTCGGTTGGCCCTCCACTCGGCAGACGAGCTGTCATCGGCAAAGTCTTCTCTCTTCCATATCTCGACCTTCTCCTTGCACTTCTCTAGGATCTCCTCTGCCGCCCGCCAGGCCGGCCCTCGATGTGCCGCACTCACCGCGACCACGATGCTCTCCTCTCCAACAGCCACCTCGCCGAGTCTGTGGGCAATGCTGACACCCGTCAGGCCATGTTTGGCAGTAGACTCCCTGGCTATAGCCATCATTGTCTCGAGGGCCATGGGCGCATAGCTCGAGTACGCCAGCCGCGCAACCGGCCTGTCTGCAAAGGAGGACCGCGTGGTGCCTAGAAAGAGGATGTTTGCGCCGGCATGGGGCGAGCGGACGTGAGCTGTGTACTCCGAGGGTGCCAGAGGACTGTAGGTCAGCTCAACTCGGATGTTGGCCTCTGGATGCGCCAGGCGCTGCGGGAAGTTGGCTGGGTTGAGATGGGCGGGCGTCTGCTCGTGCTGCTCTTCGTCCACCATGGCGTCCCTCTCTGTCTTTCTTGTCCCCCTTTTCCCCGTCGTAGCTGTAGATGACAAGTATGCTCCGTCTCCGTCAACTATTGATACTTAAGTAGATTAACTCGCGAGTTTATGTCCAGCGGCAGTGTTGTCGGGAAGAAGTGGTGGTTGATCCTACTTAGATGCGGCCGTGACAGGCGAGACTGGAGGCCAATTGGGTGCGGCGGGAAGAGAGGCCCGCGGTTCCGCCAGCCGCCTCTTGGCCTCCAGGGCCATGGATGGATGCGCGATTCATTAGTTATTGGGCTCACCGACCTCTTCAGCTTTCTTTTTCTTTCGTGCTTATAAGGCGGGGTTTCGCTGTCGTGATTCATTATTGACATCTCGACAGTTGTTGATATTGATTATTGATAAGTCGTTGCAGCAACGCAGTTTTGACCCTGGGTTAACTCCAGTGTTATTCCACCAATGCTATGTCATGTCACTGAACAATAACACTGCGAATAACAGGCAAATATGTATCTCTACAAGATACCAGATACCAAGAGAAGACAGGTACCAAGTACCGCGGCGAAAAAAGAGAATATGAATCTGAGAGGTTTATATTAATGCTCGCTGTCTATATATATCCTGTTGAAGAACCACAAGTCGGTACCACATTGCGCATGATTAGGAGATAAAAAAGAGATGAAGAAAAAAGGACGATGACCTCAAGACCGAAAGATCATGCAAAGAACGAGAGAAGCGAAGAGATGCTGGCAAAAAGGTATCCCGAAGAATGGTATATGTGCGAGGTCGAGCCGGAGTACTATGTGCAGGAGATGAAACTGGGTGGGCTTTTTTGAAGGAGACGGAGAAAAAAAGAAACGGTTAGGAGAGAAGGACGAGAAACGAAGAGAAGCCTAGCCTCTTCAGTGCCGACAGCATCAAGCATGAAGGTTGGAAAAGAGGTTTATGGTCGTGGCAGTTGATCGTTGGTGAGAGATGAGGATTCTATCGGAAAAGTTCCTTGGTGCATGACTTATACACCGTCAAGGCGAAAACCAGCACCCACATGCAAGTAACAACAATAGAGAAGAACTAGAGAGAGAGAGAGGAGCCAGGTTAGTACACATTCTCCAATATAACACAGGCTTGTGAACTAAGGACTCAAAAGACTTACAGTTCCGAGAATGTCGAAGAAAGGAGAGTTGAACTCCTTGCCCATCTGAGTGGTGGCTGTGGTGAAAACACCGAGCGGGAAAGTGAATGCCCACCAGCCGATGTTGAAGTAGAACTTTCCGCGGGTGAAACTGGCCAGGGCAAACCACAGCCAGATCAGACCGAATCCCCACATAATCATGGCGATGAATGCACCCATGACATAGAAGATGTCACCGGCAATGGGAGCAAGGAAATCAAGCTATACGACGGTTAGCATTCTGAACAACAGTTTTCCCCGCAAGGAAACTAGGAAGATTGGGGAAGGGGCTTACTCTTGGGAAAACACGCTTGGCTACGACACCAAGCTGCATGAGACCGAAGCCACCCTGTCCAAGGGGACCGATGGGCAATAAGGCACTGACGATGGCTGCTCGAGGAACCAGCTTGTGTATGGCAAGACGCTGGAAGTAGATGACGAGGATGACCATGGCCAAGGGGACGGCAGATCCCCACATGACATAGCAGACGAGGATGGTGATGAGAGCGTGGGTGTCGTTCTGGAGTGAATCAGCAACCACACCTCCAGAGGCGGCCGCGACAACGGGAGCCACGATGGGGAGCAACCAGGCTGCCGTCATCGTCTCGAGGGAAGAGGTATGTTTGGTCATTCTTCTCTAGTTAGCCAACAAGGTCTGGGGAAAATAAAAGAAAAAAAAAAAAGGTATCTTGTGAGGTTCAACTTACAGCATGAAGGGGACAAAGTAGCAGATGGCGACTGATACGGCGGCATCAATCCACCACAGGCCCCAGGCAAATCTGGAAGCCCACTCACCCCAAACAGGTACGCAAATGAAAACGATACAGTTAATGATTGTGGCGAAACCCATGGGGAAGGTTCCAAGAAGCATAGAATGAGCGGGATGTGCGAGCATGGCCTTGAACTTGTCGGGCCATAGGCAGTATCGGGTGATCGAGATGGTCAGGAAGAGAAAGAAGATGATTACGTTGAGGATGAAGAGGATGACGGCGATGTAGTGAAGACCGGGGAACTGGTACGGTAGGTTTTGGAGCAGGATGGCAGTGATGCCAGTGCCCATGTTTACGGAGAACCATCTATCACCATTCAGTCAGTATATATTCTGTTTTTCGATTTTGTCCTTGATATTCTTAATGACAGGTTAAGACTTACCCTGGGTGGAAGTTAGAGATGGCAATCCAGTCGTCTCTCTTGCGGGCCTTCTCGCCCGCCTCCTCGATGTTCTGGAAGCCGGATCCTGACGGCATGGCTGTGACCTGAAGCTCGTCGTTATCCGGGGCAACTGTTCTCTCTGACTCTCTGCTTCTGCTGCGCCCTCGATCTTGCCTGCCAGAGGAAGATTCGTGTGAAGCCTGTTTTGATAAATGAGTGTGAAGGTCTTTGGTGTGGTTGAACGAGAGTCGGTGGTCGTCAAGAGGAGAGCGCGGCTTGAGAACATCAGAAGAGGAGGAGGAGGAGGACGAGCCCGCTGTTATTATGGGACTGGTAGCTGGGGTCTTGTCGACGGCCATCTTGCCGAAGGGCAGCGCGGCCGAGTGACTTTCCAAGGGCCTGCAAAGTCAGGTTTCTCAGCGGCCTCTATCACCCGGTTGTCCGTCACAGAGAGAGCAGCAAAGATGTATGGGCGATCGGCGGCGTTTCAGGTGGGTAGGGAGACGAAATGAGACGGACGGAGTCGGGTCTAGGATCCTTGGGTTGGCGAGAGGGTTAGGTGAAACGTTAGCTGTCAAGCTGACAGGACAGACAGTCTGATATATTGAGCGTTGGTAGTCGAGTGGTTGAGGGCGTAAGTATATATGGTGAGAGAGAAAGGGAAGATCGGTGGCAGAGAGGCAGGACGGCCGAGTATATATGAAGAGATCCTGTCTCGGGCGATGCGATGCTCTCTTCGGCGAACCAGGCGCAGCTCGCATTCCCAACATCAGGCCAAACGCAGGATCGGACCGTTCTCTGGTTCTGGTTCGCTGTGGAGGATCGCTTTTTGCTTTCAATCTGCCTTTTTTCCTTTGCTTTTTTTTTTTCCTTTTTCCTTGTTCTTTTTTTTTTTTGTAACTAAAATTACGGGCCCCTGGAATAGCCAAGGCGCAGCCCGGCGAACTCTGATCGCCATCTCGTTTGGCCCTGCTAAGACTCTTCTTCTCTCTGATTCCTGGATGACACCGATTGACAGGAGGCTCGCATGGCCATGGCGAGACAAAAGCAGAGCTCAAGAACGCCGTCTCTTGTCTGTCCCTCGTCCGCCGTCCATAGTCGTACGGAGCACGACTGTGCAGCTGGCAGGTTGCTTAGCTGCTGCTGTACCACCCAGGGCGTCCTCTCCTCCACTCTCTTCCATCCAGGAAACAATTGAGTCATGTCCTGGTCGGCGGCCACTGCCGGCCAAGTCGGCCGAGAACCCTTGGCCTTGCTCTCTCTCACTCTCTCTCACTCTCTCTCTCTCTCACCCTTTCTGGCTTGCTGGCCGTTCGTCTAAACAGCCTGTTCCCTGCCAGTTCTTCCGTTCTTCTCGACGAACTCATCTTAGCCGGCCCTGCCCTCTCCCTGCAAGCCAGCCCAGAACCCAACGTCCTCTCCCCCATCCTTCCCTGTTCTGTTTGTTACATCATCAGCATCATCGTCATCATCATCATTAGCAGCAGCACCACCACCACCACCGTCGCCAGGGCTGTCGACCTGTGTCATATTTTCCCTCCTGTCTGCAGTCATCTCCGGCTGCTTCTCCGGCTGCTGCTCCGGCCAGCCTGCCTGCTTCGCCCTCAGTCCCTCTCGTCCTTCTTCATCCTTGCCGGTGGCCCTTTGATGTCGCCCGCTCTTTCGCCCCCGGAGAATTGTTCCTTCCATTCCATCGCTCTCCACGTGGGTGACTAATACGAATATCACGTGTTATGTTCTAATTATATTCCTTCTGGAAGCCACGTGAAGGTGCGCTTTCCCCGTTTGGGCTTAGCGGTGGCTCTATCCTGTTTTGGGAAGGCGAAGCGAGCCGAGGCATTCTGATGCTGACTAAGAGGGTCTCTGATAAGATCGAAAAAGAGACTTATCAAAAGCAGCCACCCCTGAGCAGACAGAAAGTTGCTTAGCATGCGAAGTATAGATAAGTATTTTGAAGCATCGATGGACTCGATCAAAATATT